ATACGCGAATGCTTTAGTACAGTGTATTGCATTTTGGGGTTTATACGATCAGCTGCATGCAAACTAAATGAAGAATGATTTACGCAAATGAATTCTGCCGAATATTTTCGGTGTTTGGTAAAATGTGTTTACTGTTTGCAGCCAACGAACATAGTTAACACGCAAAATTTTTGAAAGTTGTTCGAGATTATAATAGTAATAATAATAGTAATAATAATAGTAATAATAATAATAATAATAATAATAATAATAATAATAATAATAATAATAATAATAATATTCAAACGAATCGTTCGTTCAGTTTCGGTTCCTGGCGGTGTACGCTGGTCGCTTCATGGCACGTCGTTAGCAGGAATTCCTTTAGCCCGCCGTCGGCGCTGAGTAAAGGCGAGAGGTGCTCTGGGGAGGGGGAGGGAGGGGTGGTGGAGGTGGCGCGCAACGAGCCGCGAAGTGAATCGAATCGCATCCAATCGATCGGACGCGCGCGACAGGAGAAAGCGACCCCCGACGGCGCACAATAGAGCCTCGAGGCCTCCCACGCTCCGCTTTGTGCAGCATCTTTGATCAATGTAATTAACAGGCGAAAAGGGGCGGTCTGTGCCCTGTGCCAGTATTTTTTTGGACAAGCAGCAAAGAGGTAATTCAAGAAACATAATGGGGGGGGGGAGATGCCACTTAGGGAACTTGAGGTCAAGATGTCAATGTCTACAGTGTACGCTCGCTAGAAACGCAAGTTCTCATTTGGCATGATTTTGTTAAAATGCACACGAAAAGAGAATCGAAAAAGAAATAATTCCGAAAATTAAGATATAAAATATATTTAAGAGTTTGAATTGTAGCTATTTTAAGATGTTAGTTCAGAGTCCAGCTCAAAACAGAATATATACTCGTACATTAAAACATTTAAACAGTGGAACGAAGCAATTTACATTTCTGGAGTACGACGTTTTGTGAACTAATGCGTCCACTTCTTCAGGTACATTATGTCCTCATGATTTAAAATGTACACGGGAATGCATACGAAAAAACCTCATTCTAATTGAAAAGAAAGAGAGAGATAAAATGGAAATGATTTACGAGTATGTGCAAAATTTACCAATATTTATTGGTTTATTTAACTATTTAAAACAAAAGGAAAGTCAAACTTCTCCTCTTACCCTTCTCATATTCCTTCCTCTCCTCATCCTCCATCTTCATCTCTTCGTCCTCATTCTTCTCACCCCATTCTCACTCTTCTATACTCATCCTCCGTCATCTATTCATACTCCTTCGTCATCTCATCCTCTTTTTTCATCTCTAAATACTACTTCATTTTCTCATCCTCTTCCTTCATATCCTCATCCTCTTTCATCTTCTCTTCCTCTTTCTTCATCTCCCTCTCATATTCCTCAATCATCTCCTCGTATTTCTTCAACTCTTCCTCACCTATCTTCATCTCCTCCTCTACTTCTCCTCTCCCTTCTTCGGCCTCCTAATTTCATTGCATTTTATTCAACTTCAATGTGACCAGTTCCCATTTGTAGGCGATTTATCTCTTTCTGAGTATGCGTAGAGTCGTTTCGATGCAGAGTAGGTGTAGGTGTCGTCTTTGCCCCCTGGCTGCGATTACTGGTCTGGCCCGCGCCGCCTTTTCTGCATCATCTTCCTGGTGAATACGGAGGCGAAACGCGCGCAAAAACAAAACATTTGCTTTTAAAATATTTATTAATAACTTCCTGAAACTTGAAATAATTAGAATCAAAAGTAAAAGGTTTTAATTTCTCGCCTTATTACGTAAAAACGGAGAGTATTGTACTAGTGCGCCGGAGCTCTGCAATTTTTCAACGAAAAACTTTTATTGCCGTGCCCTAATCACGGAAAAGTGGATAAATCACATTCTACAGTGTAGAAAATTACATCCCCTAACACAACATGTAATCATAATCTATGTTTTGTGGGTCCTTGATACCGAAAAATCGATTGACGGCAAAACGCCCGTCAGTCAGAACTGAAGTCTAATTTTCCGTCAGATCTAGGAGATTAAGAATCTTCAAAAGTCCATGGTTCTTAAGTGGGTAACTCCCGGGGAATCCACAGTACGAACAGCGATGCCGAGGAAAATAAAGCATTTACTTATAACTGGTTAAATCCATGAATTAACACCGAACATACATCAAACGCGACTGTCTGCTCATTGTACCCGAAATAAAACAAAACCCCGCAATTGTCAATATTATTAAAATCTATTTAGAACTAATATATTATTTTAAAGAATATTTTTAAAAAATATATACATTTTGTTAAAATTCTGTTCATTTTGAGGGGCACGGCCCCTCTCCAACCGCCCGTGTCCCTCCCGCTGCGGGAGCGGCGCAGGGCGGTCGCTGGATTCCCGGAGCGTGCACGGCCGGCGCTGCGCAGAGCAGGGCGGAGCGGAGCGGCGAAGACGGGTCGGGGAGAGGGAGGCTGCCCCGGTTTTTGCGCGGCCGGAGGCGCGGAACCGGTTGTCCTCCAGTAATGACAGTCAGTCGAGCTCCCACTGCCCATTTGCGGAATGCAGAGCGCAGCGCGCAGCGGGGGGAGCGCGATGCAGCCGCCGCCGCCGCCGGCTCGCCCAGCGCGGGGCCGTTCGGGAGCAGAGGGGAAATTATCAGCACGTTCCGGAGTCTTAGATTTGAACGTACACGATCTAAAGATCAGCGTGTCCTGAGGTGGCGCTCTGACGACAACCGTTGCCGCTGCTGCATCTCTCACCGGGTGGTCCTTGGGTTCGGGTTCCGACGGCAGCGGATTTTCGATGTTAGCTAGGTCAAATTCAGTCGCTGAGAATTCTTGCGACCTGGCTGCTTTTATCGGTAGTTTTCCGTGGGTTTCCTGATCAATTCCAAGCAAATGGAGGAGCACTACCCTAATAATCGTGCCATGGACCGCGCACGATCTTTCCTTCCTCTTCCTTGTCCCCTCGCATCCCCTTCCTTTTCACACACACTCTCACTCATACTCACACACGTACTCTCGCTTGATGGGACCTCAGTTGTGAGCTCACAGCTTGTCACGTCTGAAACAGAAGTGCGCTGGGGGAGATAGTTGTATGTATGTATGTTTGTATGTACTTGGCGCGACAGCCCGTGAACGGGCTCAGGCCTAAAGGATTCGTGAAGGCGGTTTTTGTTAAAATTTTTAATTTATTGCAGCGTTTAACGAGAGTATTTTATTTGTTGTTCGTGAGGTAAATGCGTGCCCCTTTTCGGAAAACAACTTTGTCCGACTTTGGTCAACAGCATTTTTGTTGCTGCAGGTCACTAGTATTCATTAATTTTAATAAGTTATGCGAAGCGTAATGCGTGGCATAATTCATGCAAAACTCCTAATAGAAACTACTTAACAATCTAATATAAATTTGAAAATATACGAGTTCAACAATAGTGCACAAAATGTGCAATCATCAATTTGCACGAATTTCTCCAAAAAAACACTTAAGCATGCAAACATGCACAAAAAAGATTACATTTTAAAAGTAGCATGCCACGTAATACATGTTTACCAAGTTTGAGAGCTGTAATAAGCTCTCATAAAACCGTGCATTTGCATGGATATTATGTATTTACCTCTGTACATGTTGTTGAGCAGACTAAAAGATTTGGGCTACTGTTTTGAGCGTAACAGTTAACCTATCTAAACAACATATTATTCTGTATTATATGCAAAAGTGTGTGAAAGATTGTGTACATTTTTACTTCTAAAAACCGTTTTTGTAAAATTTTGATAATTTTAAAGGCGCTATATTTCGATGCAGCCCAAAGCACATTTTCTTGAAGCTATCGCGTATAACTGGAATTCTGCGCGTAATAGACCGTCAAAATCTGGATTCCTAACCCCTTTCTGGTATAAGAATTTTGTTCTTCAGGCAGTAATCTAGACAACTGACATCATTTGATTTGGGTTTGTTTCGCTCTTATGGGCCAACTCATTTCGTCGCAAGAATGAACAGAAGGGTGCAGATTCTAGAATTCTATAAAAAATTTAATTTGTCCATTTAAATTGTGTGAGATTTATTTGACGAGTTCAAGACTCTCTGCTAATATTTACTGCTTAGAAAAATTAGAATTCTTATTCTTGCACAGAAGCACACCTACATAATGTAACGAATATTTACGTATTCCTAATGTACATTGAAGTGCGAAACGTTGCTACGGACCGAGCTGATAATAATTAAAGGTGTATTGTTTGTTTTATATTGCAAAATATATGAATTTGTTATTTTTAAAACCCCGAAAGCAAGACTCGTAGAGTTCTGAGAAAACCAGAAGAACTGAATAATTAACTACGAGAACATTATTCTGTTGTTGTTTTTTATTTCTATTGCATACATTTTGATTGAGAATGCTACGTAGACATGTAATCTACTTGTGTCAACAGAACAATAGTCGCTGGACTTATTTAAAAGTTCATTACTTACGGGATATAAAAAACTAATCAGAAATTGTTGTACCCACACTAGCAAATAAATAATAAACCTTGCAGGTTTAGTTTGTAATTTGACACATTTATTACAATATTATGTGAAATTACAATGTGCATCTACACGTAATGTGTTTCTATGATAGTACATAGGAATATTTCGGTATTGAATATATCCAATTTCTCTGTCAGTGATATCTTTCATACACACTAAATACATACATACATGCATTCATACATACATACATACACAGTCGAACACAATACAGATATTAATATATACATACATACATACAAGTCAATAATCTACAGAGATTCAAAACCAAATCAAAATTTGCAGGGTCCTCACGGTCATTCTATTCATCTGATTTATGTGATTTACACTTAGAACGATGCATCTATCCTGTGGCTTCTATTTTCTGACAAAAAGAGGAAATGCAGAAGAGAGTGACCCCGGGAATTTAAATATAACCGATTCAAATAGGAGCGTCAAGGAACTGCTTGTGTAAACTCGAACTTAAATGAACTTGGAAAGTTGATGGAAGTGCTTGCGGTTGCAGATGACGCGTCCGCCGCCGTGCTCGTGGGCCGCGCTGGCGCTGCTGCTGGCAGTGGCCGCCGCCGCCGCCGTCGCCGCCCCGCCCTCGGCCGCCCCCGCCAACAACGCCGGCGCCAGCCGCTACAACTACGGCAAGGTGCTGGAGCTGTCGCTGCTGTTCTACGAGGCGCAGCGCTCGGGCCGCCTGCCGGCCGACAACCGCGTGGCGTGGCGCGGCGACTCGGCGCTGGGCGACCGCGGCAACAACGGGGAGGACCTCACCGGCGGATATTATGACGGTACGCGCCCCGCCGCCGCGCCCGCTCCCGCTTGCCGACCTGGTCCCTCGCCCCCGCGCCCCGCCATCGCTCCGCGCTCTCGCATTCCGTTCTTGCTTCCCCCTCGCTCTCCGCTATTGCGCACGTCCTTGCTCCACGCCCTTGGGTTTGCCCTCGCGCCCCGACCTCTCGCCCCGACATCGCTCCGCGCTTTCGCCTCCCGCCCGTCCTCCCACCTCTATGCTCTCCGCTCTTGTGCCCCGCCTTCACTCTCCATCATTGCGCCCTCCCTTGTAATCAGCCACCCCCTACCCATCCCTGCCATTGCTCCCCGCCTCCGCGCTCCACTACCCCGCCAGCGGCTGCGCCCCCCCCCCCGGTTGCGATGCGCGGTAGGGAAGTCTTTGGTTTCGAGCCCCAGTGGTGGCGAGTTTTCGACGCTGCTAGAGAGCTAGGTCAAATTGATCCGCCGCGCTCTCTGATTGATTTGTAACAGCGCGGACATAACGACTATACTGAGATGTTTCGGAATATAACATAATAGAAGTGGAATATTCAACGAGAAACGAAAGGCAGATTGAGTCTCCAGCTCACGGAATGCCTCCTGTGAATGTTCGATCCCGGGAAATGAGAGGCCGAGTCACACAGTCAGGAGGTCGAGCTTTGGCTATTTCAACTGAACGAAAAGTGACTGGGTGTGTGAAAACTGTCAAAATGAGAAGAAAATGACAAAAAATATTTTTCCAAACAGTATTTTAGAAAAACGATAGCATATGTTAATCCAAATTCCACTTTATTGGTATGTATTGGTAAATTATTTGTTATCATTATTAGTATTTTTTGTTTCTTAGCCCACACAATCACCCTACATATATGTCAACAGAAGAAGAAGATATTTATTATGTTAACTTTTTAATGTATAGTGTTTTTATTGTGTACTACTCGGTAATAAGCCTCTACTTTTTTGCGATTGCAGCCGGAGACTTCGTCAAGTTCGGCTTCACCATGGCGTCTACGACCACACTGCTGGCGTGGGGCATGCTGTCCTACAGAGACGCATACAAAGTGTCAGGTAAATATTTATTAGGAACTGGCAAGGAAATCAGGGCTTCACATCAGAAACAAAACCTTTTGTTATGCGGTGTCAAAAGATGTATGGTATCCATCCCTAATACTTTACAAAATCTAAATAAATTATAAATATTCCATCTTGGATGTTTAACACTTCGTAAACCATTTTCATTATTTATAATTTCTGTCACTTAAAATTACAATTTCTGTAAACATTGAGATCGTATCACTTTAGTTTACATTTCGTAACTATTAAACGCGACCAGTTCTTGTTTATTAATCGCTCTTTTACTGTTCTAGATATCAACTACCATTCTAATACCATCTTAATATGTATTAGTTTATGTATCCGTTGATTCTTAACTATATTGCAGACATAACATAGAATAATAGCAAAGAACCGTGAATATCATGAAGTTTTGTCGATTTAAATCAGTGATTTAAAAAGTAATATGATGTAATTCACGATTTAAATGAATGATTTGAATCGTGACCCACGTTGACCGCGAGTGGTTTGTCGCGCGCAGGGCAGCTGCACGCCGGGCTGGGCGCGCTCAAATGGGCGGCCGACTACTTCATCAAGTGCCACGTGAGCCCCAACGAGCTGTACGGGCAGGTGGGCGACTTCACGCTGGACCACCAGTTCTGGGGGCGGCCCGAGGAGCTGAACATGTCGCGCCCGGCGTACAAGATCGACGAGCAGCACCCGGGCTCGGACCTGGCCGGCGAGACGGCGGCGGCGCTGGCGGCCGTCAGCCTCGTGTTCCGCGCCGAGGGCGACAAGGAGTTCGCCGCGCTCGCCCTGCGCCACGCGCGCGAGCTCTACCGCTTCGCCACGCTGCACCGCGGCCTCTACCACGAGACCATCAAGCAGGCGGCCGAGTTCTACGAGTGAGTGCGCCCCCCCCCCCGCACCCTACCCCCAACACGCTCGCTTTCCGTGGTTTCCCAGATCAACGCAACAATGTTTCAGCTGCAGCTGTAATACCACTCACCGCTGCATTGGTTATCCTCTCTCTACGAGTAGTTTAAATAATAAAACTTAAAGTTCTACACACCAAAACAAATATATTGTTCATGAATTCATTCATGAGGGATCAATGTCAGTTTTGCCTTCTCCGTTTTCACTTGGGAAACGCTGTCCCAAAGTTTTGTTACTGTTAAATGTTATATCTAATGTTCCCAAAGTCACTACTATTTGGGTTTTATCTAGTTGATATCAAGTGGCTATTTAGGAGGCCTACACTCGGACGTCCATTCTCTAGCTAACTCAACCCAGTACTCCTCTCAACTGCCCGGCGCCCATGGGGTAACCGACGACCCATGCCAATTCTTCCGTCAACTGTTACTTTTCACGAGTTCCACACAGCATTCGTATCGTAACAATGGCGGTGGTGACTGCGCAGGTCGACGGACTACGGTGACGAGCTGACGTGGGCCGCCGCCTGGCTGTTCCGGGCCACCAACGAGTCGCAGTTCCTGGACGAGGCGCAGCACCACTACTCCAAGTTCCGCCTGCGCGAGCGGCCCAACGAGTTCTTCTACAACAAGAAGGTCGCGGGCGTACAGGTAGGCCCACTCTAACCTCACTCTTCACTGCGCGTTCTAATACGAGTACAATTTGTCATCGGGAGTAAATAACTTATATTTCAACGTAGTAGTATGTTTCGCTCCATTAATATAAATAACTAGGCAGATTTACAGGTATTAAGCACAATGTGAAAGTACTAATTAAAACAACATTATCAGTTTTGGTAACATAAGCTGCGCGAGTATTTATTAGTACAATGGGTACAAATGTGTGCGTTTGTTATTTCAAGTATGGAATTTGTATTTTAAAACGATGGAATTGAGGATGGAATAGTGTATTTCCAAACAACGTCAATCTTGTGAATTTATTTACTTACACAATGCAGCCAATACCTGTTAATCTTGGTCATTAATAATATTAATGTGCGTGAAGATCACTACTACGCAGGCGAGAGTGGATGAGCGGTGATGGACGGGCGAGAGTGGATGAGCGGTGATGAGCGGGCGAGAGTGGATGAGCGGTGATGGGTGGACGAGAATGAATGAGCGAGCAAGGGGTGATGGGAGGGCGAGGGGGGATGAGCAGGTGAGTGGATGGGCAGGCGAGAGTGGATGAGCGAGCGAGGGGTGATGGGTGAATGAGAGTGGATGAGCGAGCGAGAGTGGATGAGCGGGAGAGGGGTGGTGGGTGGACGAGAGTGGATGAGCGGACAAGGGGTGATGGGTGGACGAGGGGCGATGAGCAGGTGAGAGTGGATGGGCAGGCGAGAGAGGATGAGAGAGCGAGAAGTGATGGGTGAATGAGAGGGGACGAGCGAGCGAGAGTGGATGGGCGTGCGAGAGTGGATGAACGGGTGAAGAGTAATGGGTGAATGAGAGGGGACGAGCGAGCGAGAGTGGATGAGCGGGCGAGGGATGATGGATGGACGAGGGGGGATGAGCGGGAGAGGGGAGATGAGGCGGATAGATGGGGAAGGGGATAGATGCCGAGAGGAATCGGCTGAGCGAGGGCGGTGGTGTGCGGTGTGGCAGGTGCTGTTGGCGCAGCTGACGCGGCAGCGCGAGTACCTGGAGGCGGCGCAGGCCTTCTGCGACTTCACCGTGGACCAGCAGAAGCGCACACCCAAGGGGCTCGTCTACATCGACAAGTACGGCACTCTCTGCCACGCCGCCAACGTCGCCTTCGTCTGCCTCGAGGTGAGCCATCTCTTTAACCACCGAAATGAGTTAAACGAAAAACGACGACAACGATGATAGTAAAAAACATAATGGTGTATATTTGAGAGGGAAAGCGGATAACAGAAATGTAGTCATTAATTAGATCGCTGGTGAGATAGATACCTTCTGGTAATTAAATATGGTAAATTAAAGGTGTTATCTGGTATCAAAAATGGTATTGAAACCAGATCATATCTTATCAAATCAATAACCATATACCATCAAATACCATATCAGAAATGGCGTTTTTGACACCAGATAACACCTTTAATTTACAATTTTTAATAAATATAGTCATTTCGGGTGGTAAAAAATACACCGTAGACTTCTCTTCAAATGATGAACAAATGCTTAGGTAATTTCGCTGAAAATCGCTTAGTTTGTGCACAGCGTTTCTTGACTATTTCCTTTCTATAGCGCCCTGAAAGTTGTGTGCTTATAGTGAGTAAAGGCTCTGAGGATAGTTCTAAGTATTGCCGACGATAGTGGCGGCTCGTGCCCTCAACAGTTCGTGGTTTACAGAACAATGGCAATAAGAAACGTACTGAGACTGGAATACAATGAATTTTTATGTACGTTTCGGGAATACACTGTACTTAAAATTTCACGTTTTTCTTTAAGACATTTCCATTTCCACGACATTAGGTATCGTTATTTAAAAGTGTCAATAAAGAGCATGTGTTATTTGTAAAAGAATTCGATACGCCTTTCCTTGCTCGTAGTAAATTTTGTGAAAACTCTTTCATTAAAGTCTGCTATTTGGGTAATGATGTCACGCTCGATGGAAAGCATAGCAAGAGCTGATAATCTATATTTTGCCATTGTATTGCGCAGATATGTAACCATGTGGCCAACGAAATAGAATCTTTCTGTATTGTCGGCCACAAAAAGGAATTGCAGTGAATTCTCTGCCCGCAAGTGACGCGAACGTCCTCGAGAATCTACAGCAGCATTTTTGAGACACGGAAATGCGCACAAACTTCCCATGATATGCGACGAAATTGGAGAATTACGAAAAAAAAGGAAACAAACAACCTTTCTGCAATACTGCTTTAATGGCAAAAACTGTTAAGAAATATGTATTTATTTATTAACTTATTTATTTATTTACTTATTTACTTATTTATTTATTTACTTATTTATTTAATTACTTATTTATTTATGTCAAAAAGAGTTACAAACTGTGTGCGACGTACTATGGGAAGAAGTCAAATTGAAGTTACATTTATGTCCAGAAGCAAAACAAGGGGCCATCTCAGCATTTGCTCAAGGATCAGGAAAATTGGACGAAAGCCTTATCGAGATGGGGATATTGCTAATGATAAGGATATTGCTAATTTAATTTTACAAATCTTTTAGTTATCTTTGAAATTACATGAGCACATACATTTTCCTTTTGTTAATCCTGATTTTAGTTACGATTTATGTTGTAGGCTGCAGATGCAGGAATCAAACCATCGAAGTACTTGGCATTTGCTCGACAGCAAATCCACTATATGCTTGGAGATTCTGGAAGATCTTTCGTTGTGGGTCTGGGACACAACCCTCCTACCCAACCATATCATGCTGCTAGGTAAGTATTAAATTGTCTTCTGCACTTTTGTGGTTTTGTTTTCCATTTACGATTTCACTTTCCATTTAATATCTTATTTTTTACCCACATTATGTAGAGAAAATATTCTACAAGTAAAAAAAAAAATCTTAAGATTTTGACAGATTAACCTGTAACAAAACTAGCTTCTAAAGGTTTTTTTTCAAAATTGATATTCAGCCATGAAACAGATTGATACCGAGGGCCTGGGAGTTTGAATTTTAGGATTGAAGGATTTGGATTGAGATTTTAGGAAGTTTATAATAAATTATTAAGTTTTAACCAAAATAAATCTATGTTTTTGTTTAAATTATTTAAAAAATTCCAACATTTTTCAAAGCAGACATATTAATACTATTTTTCAATAATTTATTTTATTTAACATTTCAACACTTTTAAAAGAGAGCTCTAGTAAGTGTTCAAATTTGAAAAATTATAGTAATGTGTCTGTTTTGGAAAAAAATCACTTTGTTTTTAACACTAATAATGTCATAATGGACAACAACACATTCCTTTCAGTTTTTGTTTGAAGTTTGTGTGTGAATAGAAATGAGTGGACTAAGTAATGTAATACATTATTCAATTAAAAAATGTGTTTTGAAGTTATCTGAATTCTGAAAGTTACTAATATTAATTTTCTTTAATACAGCCATACTTAACATTTACAATAAAAATATGATTAATAAAATGAATTCATGAAAATAATACTTTGGGTGGGATCTTCAAATGTTTCTAGAAATTTCAAGTTTGTGTATGTATTTATAATGTTACGTTTACATGTAGGTTATGTATAATGCATTAAAACCAAAAGTATCAGGATATAAATCTAATGAAATGCCTTAGATATGGCTTCTATTTTTAATCTAATTTTTTTTCCAACAAAAGTTTTTCTACTCTTTGCGGCCCCCCAAATGTCATGCTTCAATCATAAACTAAGAGATCTGTAAAAATAGGTAACTGTAAAAAAAAAAAATTGATTTTTTAACAAATGCAATATTATTAATGATATCAATGAAACCAGTGCATTTTTAAAATAAAAAAAATAATACAACATTTTTATGAACTGAAACATCATGTTATTCAACATTTTATATAGAACTCATAATATTTTTATAAAATACGTACTTTATTGTTTGAGGATTGGTATATTTCAAATTGGGAAAGATTTTCAAACATTGCTACAATTGCAACTAATTCTTAAGAATATTATTTAAATGAATAGATTAAAATTTGGGAAGCAGTAATGATTGCCAATTCTCTGTTGGCAAGGGTCTTTCTACTTGTTAGGAAATTTTTGTATAATTCTAAATGGTTGAAGTTGGTTTGCTCATCTTACTTTTTCGGCTTTTCCTTGATACCTTGATATCCTTAACTACTCTTCAGTTCTACTCTTAGTAGATACCAAATACTATATTATATAGTATTACTTATTATTATATAGTATTATTAGTGTATAGTAAATACAGTAAATATATTTAGGGGAATATGTTTCACTTGTGTAAATGCTAAACCTCTTCTCTTCTTTATAGCTCTTGCCCTGATAGGCCTGCTGCCTGTGGATGGGATGCCTTCCGTAAATCTGCACCAAATCCTCAAGTTCTCTATGGTGCTCTTGTGTCAGGCCCTGATGAGAACGACTTGTACATAGATGCTCGTGAAGAGTTTGTGTACAATGAAGTCACTCTAGACTTCAACGCAGGGTTCCAGTCTGCAGTTGCTGGTCTTCTTCATCATGAATTGCAGTCTGCCTCTGGATCTGACAAGCAACAATTGTCTGGTGACTCCAAGTCGATGAGAGAAGTGTACCTGCAGCGCCGTAGGCGCCGGCGTCGTAATGTCCTTATGTATAAAGAAATCACTCCTTAAGAATTAATGATTGTTTATCATAACATAGAGAAAATGTATCAAGTAAGATTTCTCTGCCCTGTCAGAAATTAATTCTATGGGAATCGATGCTAATACTGTGTATGTGGTACTCTTGAATGATGTACCATCACCCTATAGAATTTCAAATACTTGTATTCATGTATTTGTGTTATTCATAAATATTCTTCAGTGAAACTGGTCGCAAGCTATTTAACTCAATGTATTTTACCCACAAAAAAGTATCAGAAATTCCAAACAAAACTTCCATAATAAGAATAACAACATTTTTATCAAATTGAAAGAGCTTTTGTTTCTCTCCAAAAAAAAAAAATGTCCAGAAGTAGGTTTGCATGCATTTGTGGTAAAAGGAACAGCTCTTGACTTCACTTTATTTTCTTGTTCGAAAATCTTAGAGATAGTTCATCATACATATACCGTATAATTGGTTGAATTAAACAAATGCTACAAAACTCATCATTCTATTATTTATACAGCCAAAATTTTATTAAATTTTTTTTTCTTTTCTTTTCTTTTCATTCTTTGTTTTCATTTGAACCTTTTGTTGCCATAAGTTTCGTTTAAATATTTATGATTATTGTGCATTAAAATTATGAAATTTTGAGAGAAAAGATCAAAGTTACATTAATGAAATATTATCTCATTTCTTTACATAATCAGTTTGAATTTTGAGTGAAAGTAACTAAAGAAAATGATATTTTAGAATAATAAAATATAATAACTCGGTGCCAAATCATACTTCCCTCAATTACCTTTGCTCAAATTTCTCTGATCATATGGTGTGAGTCATCAAATTATTTTAAGAAAATGGATAAAAATTGTTTCCTGAGTCAAGGGCTTATTTTTATAAATGTTGACATTTATGGAATATTATTATTAAAATTTTGTACAGATATTATTTTTACTTTGCAATTATTTTTCAAATTAAGTTAGTTGCTTATTCCAATTTTAATTACTGAAGAAACAATGAATTTAAAAATACCCTAATACTTTTGGACATAACTTTTATAAAATATAAATAAAATTCAAAAATTATTTCTTTACTTCAATTATTCCCGCTTCATAATTCATGTGTTCATGCGTTATTGCAAAGACATGGTCATCCAACATTTAAATGGGCAAGTGAGAGATCAGGGAAAAATAAGTGAAAACTGTTATGTTAAATCAGATGATAAATTTGATATAATTTCACAAACATATAATTAATATTCATTAGAGAACTTTCAATTTAATTACTTCAATTATGCACTTATATTACTTTTTAACAGACAGAAAACAAAATTTCTGAGGAATGATGTTGGTAAATACAATTATAAACCCAAGACTTAGTAATTTGAATGAAGAGTTCATAAATGTTTGAGAGGGCAATTTTGTTTATAACTCCTTTGGAATTCTTAAACAATAATACATTGATGTAAAAGAAATGCCTAATTTTAGCTTTTAATATCAAATATATTGAAGAATTGATATATTCTAAGATATTCGGTTTCTTTATTTTGAATTATAAACAAGGTATTATTTCAAAATATCACAGTTACATTTTTTTAAATATTCAAATCAAATTTATAAATGCATTAAAAACTGCACATTACGGAACATACATAACGTGGAAATCTGTCTAATTTGAACATGAATCGTGGTCCTGAAAACATAAGTTCTACTCTATTACATTGTAAGAAGCAGAACATTTTCTAATAAAGAAAAAAATACCGGTCCCTTGAGGTTTCACTTTGAGCAAGTTTTGCTGTAATTACAAAAATCTAATTGTATGATTCAGAAAATGTTTTATGGTGCCTAATGGTGAGGAAAAATCTGTGATTTGTAGACTGAGAACTATTAGTATGATTTTGGTGTATAAAAAATTAAAAGAGAATAATGCTTTCAACTTAATGTAGAATATTGAAACATTACATTACAATCAATGTAATTTCTGATATCAAAAAAATAATGTAATTGATTTATACGATTTTGAGAAAATTAAGAAAATTAACAGCATCTTCAAACCAATGTTGTCAACACTTTCTTCATTCATATAATGTAAGTAACATTTGTCTGGAAACAAATCATAATTGTGGAATGAAGCTGGTGACCAGCTTTCATGAATGATGTTAGTGATGAGGTTCCATTTTCCCCATTACTTTGTTAAAATTTTTAAAGTATTTTAAATTTATCAAATGGTTGTGAGCAAGTTTAAGTAAGCTGTGAGCAAGTTTAAGTAAGCTGTATCTTGCCAATAAATATTCAGCGCATTGCATTATATTCAAAATTGTTTTTCCTTTTTTATATGAATGTAGTTATTTTATTCACCATTGTGTAAGAGCAAAATACAATTTTGGATTTAAAAATGTCATCAACGGGAAATGTTTTGAGGTTAATATTTCTGTATTTGAAGTAATGATTGTTTTCCTCTATACTGTTAACTGGTTTTCTTTGTATAGTAGTTGTAAAATGAACTTCCTTCATATTTTGTTTATCTACTCCCTCTTTATTATTCATTTAATTATCATATGTAATGTTAAATAGTACACCAAGATAATTTTGCACAAAATTTATTCTTATTTTTCCAATTAAGCAAAATTAATATAATTTTTACATTGTACTATAAATTACACTGTGATCCTATATCATATAACTATCAAATGTGCTTCATCGTGATGTAGTCATTCAGCTCTAAAGTCTTAAAGGTGTTAAAAGTATATAATGTTCTTCCTAACATATGACAGGGTATATTTCCTAGTCCTTTGCTGATTATTATGCCCTCCCTTCGAAATATTACTAATATACAGAATACTCAAAGTAATTTTGAGAACATATTTTCATCAGTAAAAATGTATATTTTGTCTCTACAAAAGAACTATTTCATGCTATAAATTAGCATTCTCTATAAAATGTTTGTTGTAATTCATGTAAGTTTTGTATATTATATATTATTCAATAAGTAGTTTTCGATCTTGATGTGTATGTGTATATATATGTATTTGTTTTAGTCATTAAGGCGATCTTTCAACAAGCGTAATTTAGTACATAATTTGATAAATCTTAAAAGAGAAGGATTAGATCAGAATATTGTAGACTTATCAGTATTGTGCCATTTTTCATTGT